CGATTAAGAGAGCAGAAGAGAGAGGCGGAAAATAATTTGACAACTTGCAATGAATGTTGATAAGGCCGAGCAAAAAGAGATACGAAATGCAATAGTAAAAAAGATTTTATTATTACCATAATTTTATGTATAGAATGTTTATTTATACATACATAATTTTTGGTGTAATCTTTCTTCATGAAACAACAAAAGAAAGATTTGTTTCGTCTGTTTTTTCGTCATTCGTACACTCCGCCTGAAATAAAAACTACAGTTGACGATACGCAGTGTCCACAATTAAACTGTATCTTTTCTTCTCGCAAACTTAATGACGACGAATTTTATTCGGTATATGAAAGACAATAGACAATTGTTGTGAACGATATAACTGAGTGATTTTGGATTTCGTGTCAATAATCTAAATCAACTGATGCTAATGGACGGTCGGATGTAATTGTGAATTATTGACAGTCAATTGATGTTGCTTTGAAACAAGTGTCTATGTGATCAAAAATAAGTGTCAATCAAAACCAAAATAAGCAGTCAATCATTTAAATATAATCTATACTCGTCCCTATCATTACTCGTCCTATTCTAATGCTACTGCTAAACGGATGTCATCGTTACGGTTTGTACGTTACTGTCGTAAACGATATGATTTCGTTTATTCTGAAGCTTACTGGAAGATGCGCTTGGCATCACCTTGACATATGAATGAATGACATAAGAGTTGGCTCAGTGACTGAGATTGCTTCTCTCTCAAAAAAATTATGAATGAATTTCGAAGTGAAGAAAAGTGAAAAGAATGAAAAGCGGTGAATAGGGCNAAAAAAATAGAACAAACAACACTAATCAAAAGAACACTAATAAACCAATTGCTGTATCAATCCATGAATAAACACATTGAATCGTATCATATATAATATTATCCAATTCAGACTAACCGTTATCTAATTTACATTCAATAAGAATAGAATATAATATACATATCGGTATTTTGTTTATTTCATCGAAAAACAATTACATCTTACCACTAAATTATATTTGAATCATCACACTAAGAATTGTACATTTTTATATTCATTACCATCAATCTTCCTAGCCAATTGCTACTTCAGTCGAGAAAAACAAACGACTCTAAATGAACATTTGTGATGTGCAACCACACAACGAACAACAGACGATCGATGGATATGATGAAACATTAACGATAGGGAAGGCGATATCAATTTTGGATGCTGAAAAGTTACTCTACTTAACAAATTTTGCACGAAGGACAAGAAAGGTGCATTATTCGACTACAGATGAGTGATCCACTTATATGGCTGGCCTAGGTGCCATTCACTAATCTCAATAATATACGCTTCATCTATTCCGAAGTCTTGCTCAAAAAACATCCGAAGGGAAGTTATAATAATTCACTGCAAGAAAGAGTGATGGCAATCGAACAAAAAACACAAAATACGAGATACGATCTGAACAGAAAAGTGCTTGCTGTTAGCAAATCTTCAAAGAGAATCAAAATTCAATAAAAAGTTTTGCGAATGCGAACCGTTAAAATCAATCTCTTTTAAATATCATGTCAATATGTGCACGTAAAGACGAATCAGCAAAAGCTAAAGTCATCATGCGAATAATAACCGAGATTATTGATTGCAATGAATGATCTATTTCTGTTATTCAATAGATTAACGGTTACTTCCTATAGAAATGGCAAAAACATATGAAATACTTTGCTACTGAGCCACTTCTATTTTGATTTCATCGAATCATCGTTCTGTGCTGGGCTGATCCAATTAGTATTACCACACTGAGAACAAGGAAATAATATCTGATTGAGATCGAGTCGAACACACATTCCACAATGAGCAACTCAATTCAGAAGTCACGCTTTTCAAATCAATCAATCAATCAATCACACTCGAAAACACGCTCAAACACAAACAGTGACTGACGGTAGTGTCAATTTGGTGCAGTGATTATGGAACAATTGTAAGAGAAACATTAACAATGATGATAATATCAGTAGTAATGACAATATAATAAAACCGTATGAGTAATACAGATTAATGCAAACAATAAAACTAATATCAACTTGAGTGCTCCTTACTACTTGCCTCATCGTCGTTCTTCGTCGCGTCATTGACAACGACGAATTGTCGTGGTGGTTTATCATCTTCTTCACCTTCTTCTTCGCTCTGACCAGTCCCATCGCCATCCACCCCTTTCTTAGTATCATTACTATTACTACTGTTATTGTTATTACTATTATTGCTACAAACATCATCATCACTCATCACTACCGCCACTCTTATCACGTTGCTTTCTCTATCACCTCTCACCAGATCCTGCAACTACCATTCATTTCTTTATTCAGCTGCAAAATGTCCATTTCAAATATTACTTGAGATGCATTCAGTCATTCATTTTCTTTTTGCTATAACTTGAAACCTCGAAAACCTAAACCAATGCAACAATCACAGCGCAATAAATTGGTATCAACGATTTGAATC